ATATTATCTCATGCTCCTCCGTGTTTCGGAAGGTACTTTAAGCCGTTGGTCCCGGCTGCATCAGCACTCTGTTAAAACCACGACTCATTGTCTCTTTTCAATTCTATCCATGGGGAAGACCTGTACTCTACTAATAGCTTGATGATTATGTCAGAATTAAGAGAAGATTGAGACCATCATTACATTAATAGCTACAACATAATGGATCATATACTTCTTGAAGACTCATATGAATCTTTATTTCATTAGAATGATGACAACCACAATTGATTTCCGTAACGCGACCTTACTGTCAGTTAACTTTTGAACTTAAGAAGGCGCGTACACCCTGCACAATGCTCTAACCTGTTTCCTAATATAAAAATAATTTGCAAATAATATGCAACTCATAATGAGAAATTGTATTTTTAAGGGTTGTCACGATCAAAATGGGGAGTTTTAAAATTTTCTCGACAGAAAAAAAATTACAAAGTTCATAGTTTTTCTTTTCTTTTAATTATAACAACTTTTTTATGTTAAGGAAAACCAACAAATATATAAGTTAGTTTATAGCTTTAACGAGATTTTTTCCAATAATCGTAAAGTTTTGTGATATCTCTCTCATTGATGGGCAAGTTGATTTCGTCTAGTCTTCTTCTTTGTCATTAGGCCCAGCCTTAATGTAAATTGGGTTATGTCACACGTTTTGTGTGTTTCTATCGTCTGTTTGTTCGAATTTTTAACAGCAAAAGTACAAAACAATGTAGCTCATTTATGCCTGACTTTAATGTATAAAAAAATATTAGAAACGCATTTATGACGTCATCGCTATAGTTTTTAAGCCATAATCGAAAATTAAATGCGTCCGTTCAGTAATTAATAAATGATTGTAGAGTTTGTTTGCGATGTTTATTGACGGAAGGTGTCAGTGGCGGCCAGTGGAAGTGGCAATGTGGTAAAAGTGTAATGAGGGTCGGTTGGTCCCGCGACGAGGTGCAGCGCGGCGCGGCCGGCGGCGGCCGGGGCGGGGACGGGCGGGCGCGCGGAAGGAATGCGTCGTTTTCGCATCGGGAGAAACGAATGCGTTTAAGCGTCGCGGGTACACAATGGCGGCGTGACGAGATCCGGTTCGCGGGCGGCGCGGGGGCAGGGGCGGGGGCTCTAATCGATAGCCGGCGAGCGACGGCCGGGCGACTGTGGCGCATAGGTGACAGCTCGGGTCCAATCAAATTAACGGCCGTGGAGGAAAGCTGCAGTGCAACGGCACGCAAGAGGAACAAACACAACCGCCCGCTTGCCCCTCTACCGGCCGACGCGTTGCCGCCGTCGCTGACGCTGCCGAAAACGCAGCGATGAACCTCTATTGTCGTGTTATAGACCAATGACTCACATGCACTCGGCTATGCAACACATTGACGGATAGTTGTCACTTATCACACCCGCCCGATACACTAGGACCGCCTGCCCCACATACCCCCCTTTTATCTGGCTCCAGAATTGTGGTCTGTGCGTAGATTAGGTAGGGGGGTTGATAGTTATACAGATACTTTATTTTATTGGCTTCTATTTGACGATATTTTGTGGTAATTCAATATATTGATTAATGTCTTAGAGTTGGGGCCGTTTTAGTTATCCTTCCCGTACAACATCAACAACCAGTTGAAAAAATGGCTAGCACTTGTCCACCATGGATAGGAGTAGCGAGTGATATGAAGATAGCCATCATAATTTCAATGATAGTATAGCTTTAGATCAAACGTAGTTTTACGCCTAATCTTGTGTGACCAAAGCACTACTCAAATCCAACGAGATTATTTAGGTCTTCAAATAATAAAACAAGAAACCGTATGAGAATTCACATAAATAATTGAGATACCTAATCATGTATAATTAATCCTATTAAACGCTTCTACAACAGGACAATCGGAGATTGCTCAGAGAATTAATTGTGACAAAATAAACGAGACATCTAAAAGTTCCACTAGTATTGGTGTACGCGCATCTAATTATAGGTTATTCCACCCGCGTACCACAACAGATCCACGGCCTACCATTAACGACCGACCTGAGCACGAGTCGTAAGTATAGCGGTCGCTATGTGCATACGCGCGGTGGGCACATCAGACATCGCTGTGAATAAGCAACACGCTACGCACAATGAACTTTGCCCGGTCAGGACAAAATCTGGCCCAAAACCATACAGTGGGTAATGATAATAAATGACAATAAAACAAGGTTAACTGTTGGCTGTAAAAATTAATCTTGACATTGAGTATGGTATTATAACGACAATATATTCCGTGAAAAGATAACGGGCTGTAAAGTTGGTCGCTAATCGATCGTACGCGTGTTGTGTACTATATAAATTATTGACGTAGTAGTTTAGTCGACCGGTGACTGAAATAAATGTCGCTATCAAAGGTACCTACGTAGGTAATGAAGTAGACTCCGCAATTATATCGATGACATCATAACCTCCATGCTTGTCGCGATGGGAAATAAAAGCACAATTCAATCAACCAGATCAACGGCTACGTGTATGTTAGTAGAGTCCACAGTCCTCTTGTGTGATATACTAATCACTGAGTAATCGGATGCGTTATCTATTGTTTTCAGTGTAATATTGAGACAATATCGAGTTATTGAGGACTCAAACACTGGAGAAACGCTACTCGGAAATATAACCGAACAAATGAAATGCGCATATATTGGTTTTGTGTCAGACGAATCCTTGAATTGTGACCGTGATTCGGTAAAACGTAGAGTAGGATGAATTTATGACTCATATCTTGAAATATCATTTATACATAAATAATAACGAAAACTTAATCTTATCGTAGGACAGACTCGTCCCCAATTTGATTGTAGACACAATCAGATACTTCAACATAAACTCAAAATTCTAATAGCGCCAGACAATTTATAACTTTCTTTACTCTATCTTAAAATGTTTATACCTTCAATAGCCAATTAAAAAAAAATTCTAAGTCAAGTTAAGTTCGCATCTTTTTTGAGTGCATAAATATAAATGAACGGCTAACGAAAAATTTCATAAATTCTTGTCCTAACTCATTCTTGACTTAAAATATATTTAAGTTTTATTTTTTTAGGTTTTATTGTTAATAAAAGAACAAATGGAACGAATCAAATATTTCTCGTAATATACTCATAATATACACATAGTATAAAATAAAGTTTAAAAGTTTTTATAAACCTAACCTACATGACAATGAATCTTTGTAGGATAAGGTTTTAAGGTTTGAAATTATATTAAGTTGGGGAAAAAGTTGCTTCGCATTTTTAAAAGTTTATTTACCATTACTAAATTATTTAGGTACCATTTTATTCCGATTACTTTTTCCATATTTTAGATAGGTACATGATCCCCTTGCTATAGAAATTTTGGGGTTTCTGATAAAAAAAAACCCCCAACAAATGGTTTTGGCAGTCCTCGCGTGATGTAAACCTGACACTGCTTAAAGAATTCTGAAGATAACGCAAACAGGTGGAAATCTGAAGGTGCAAGCTCAGTTCTATACGGCGGATGCATTAACACCTCTCAATCAAACTTACTTATTTTTTGCTAAGTGGCAAAAGATATGTATGTAAAAGATCTAGCGTTATCATGATAAAAAACCCCTTCTATTGATTAATTCTGGCCAAGCGGTCTCTCAACTTCTTGCTTTAATCTTAACAGTTGTTCGCAGTAGAGTATAGAATCGATGTTCCTGCCTGGCGGTAACAGCTCATAATGAATAATATCTTTCCAATCCCACCATACACACAGCATCACCTTGTTGCGAGTTAACTCGGGTTTCGCCACAGTCTGGGAAGCCTGACCAACCTTTGACCACGACCTTTTTCGCACATTCTTGTCGTACGCGATCCACTTTTCATCATCTTCAAAAATGGTTCGGTAACATTACGCCGTAATAAAGAATCACAAATGAGTACACGAGTCATTAGGTTTCTTTTAGTAAGCTCGTGAGGTACCCAAATATCCAACTTTATTGTGTACCTAGTTTATTTAAATGCGCCAAAACTGTTTTGTGGTCTATCCCCAGCTCTTTAGCTACGTCATAATTACTGATATGTCGCTTTTGCTCCAATTTTTCCAAAATGGCATCTATTTTATCCGTAACACGGCGATCATCTTTGACATCAAAATTTCCGGACTGAAAACGCTTAAACCAAATTTGTGCTACTATTACAGAAACTGCAGTAGGTTTTACTCATTTTGACAGTAAAAAAAACAAATTTAAATCACACATTTTTCTAATTCGGATTCAGAGTTATCTTCTTTAAAACTTAAACTTTTTAATGATACTGAAACCAGCCAGATACAAATGGTATAGCCAGAAAGATTTTACTACAAGTTTATGCACTCTATATTTTATACAACTTCGTAAAGCTGAACGTTTCTTATTAATTATCAGAAAAGTTGTCGAAGAATTGTTAATGTTTTTTTTTTAATATATATACGTGTTATTCCATATTTCCCACGGAATGTTAAGTATATTTAAAGGTACAATACAATACAATAAGAGCCGAAATAGAAACACGACTTATAATCGCTTAGCAATGAAGTTTATCAATGTAAAACAGAAAATAGTTATAAAATAAATAATTATGGAATCAAAGATTGCACAATGCATTTCTTCGATCGAGAGTTGGATATCGTATGGATCGCACCGGATAAAACACATTGAGATAAAACGTTCTAGAGTTTGTCATAGTCATGCGTGTTGGTCTCAAGCTCGAGTTGCGGAAAACAACCCGCCGTCGAAAAGATGAAGAAAAACGGTGAATTTATCTAGTCGATGCTGCCTTGTATCACACAGCGGAATAAAAGTCCGCTTGGCTTCAATTAACCATTGTTCATTGAATTGTACGGAAAAGAGACATGGAACTGAAGGCATCTCAATGATTTATTGAAACGCGGCGCCCCTCCTAGCTAATCCTAACCTTTTCAATGCTATCGCTAATTATAATAATACATATATTGGGAAAAGTGTACTCACCTAACGCTGGGTCTAACACTGCTTGTGCCGCCTGTTCTTCGCCAACTGGCGTCTTAAGGCATATTTTTTTGAGTTTCATTGCGATCGGCGAGTCTTCCGACTGAGCCACTGTAACAAATATAATATGTTAATAAAAATTTGCTTATGATAGAAGTGAAAAAGTACAACAGCACGTTCGGTTATACAAAACTGTCCAATTTTTCAATTCGATTTTAAATGTTTGGCCGTCGTCGTAACGTTGGTACATCATTTTGTTTATATACATAAAGAATTTACAGTAAAGAACTTATATTATTGTATGCTGTTTTATATTCAAATACACGAATAAAATGTCACTTTAATTCTTGACACTTTGAATGTTTCCTGTTGGTAATTCTGTTAATGTTAGCGTCAAAGGCGCTTCAACTACACCCCTTTATGAATATAACACAGTTCTTGTATTAGATCACAAAATAATAAATATATTTGTCACCGTTCATTTGTGAAGAAGACATTGCACTCACACACTAACATTATTGTGTACACACGGATGCACGTCAGGCTACCACAATATGTCAAGTTTTCGTAAGGGATTTTGTGCTCTACTATATTTTAATGTTTAACATCAAAAGGATAAATTTTGACAGTTTTGTATAATCCGATTTGTTGTTGACTGTACAAGCGCAAAACGCAAGTAGTTAAGACCCCATTGAGATGCGATTACTATGTAACTTTTATAAAAAAATTTGATTTAAAAAAATAATATTATGTTAAGAAAATATTGTTTTTCTTTTAACAAAAATATCATAATTATTTAACACAAATATTCGATTAATTATATTTTTTAATGAAATATATTGGATTTTTTTTGTCAGATTGCCATCCCTGAGGTCCCGGGTTTGATTCCCGGTCGGGTCAATGTAGAAAATGCACTTTTCTCAATTGTCTCGGATCTGGGTGTTGTGATACTTTCGTTGTCTCTGATATTCCATAATACGGGAGCTTTAGTTAATCTTAGAATCTGAGCAATGTATGTGATGTTGTTTAATATTTATTAACTTAAGTAAATCAAAACATAAAATAGAAATTGTATTATCTTTACAGATAAAATACACTCGAAATTGTGGAATACATGGATGCTTTCTTTTGCTTTTCCTATGATAAAATCTGAAGTCAGAGAGCACATTCCCTGAAATAAAATATAGAGCAATCGCTAAGTGTATTCTCCAATTTCCTTTCTGATTGCTTGATACTAACACATAACCGAGATTGCGAAAAGTGTGACAAATGTCGAGAATACAAATCGTCATATCATATAGTTATTTGAACTTAAATTAAGTTTGTCAACCATCACAAACAGCTCCAGAAAGATGCTGACAAAGACGTTAGTCTCAGTTCTATTAGTTACACTGCGAGATAAGTTGGCATACATGTTTTATTCTAAACCTGTGGTGTGAGATTAGTCCAATTCACGGTTTGTCCAATTCGTGGTTTGTATGACGTTTGCGAGTTAAGTTTTAAAAAAGTAATACATATGTAGGTTAAATTGGCAGAATAGTTTAGGAGTGTATTTGTAAACTCTTCATTGAGAAAACTCGCTGTTTTCGGAAGTTCCATACATTGAAAGTTAATTCGCTAACGCTTTAAAAATGTATGTGTAAATTCGCCATAGGCAGATAAAAGTCATTGTAAACAACATTTGATTTAATAACGACAATTAATTTTGTATCATATTTTTAAGAACCGTTCGCAAGCACGTTATAGCGCATAATAGTTATGTAAAAGAATAATTCTGTTACCGGTCGCCGGTCGGGCCCATATAGAAAATGAAATTTTATATAAGTATTTTCTCGTTTCTGAGTGTTATGGTACTTTCGTTATTTCAGATGTCCTGGTATTTATATTAAAAATTGAAAACTACTTAATTTTGGTCTAAACAATGTATGTGTCTCAGCCGAGTGGTAACAGGATGATCGAGAATCAGCTGAGTAGCTGAACGCAACGTTCTACGATACGGCTGAACAAAGGTCGACCAATTAATTAACTGTCAATTCATAAGAAATACCGAAATTACCAATAAATTAATGCTCTGCATGATCCAATACAGGAAGTTTTGAGGTTATTTTTAGAAAACTAGGCGTGCAATTGGTTTGCGCCATTCAATTAAATGGTTAGTCGCCCTATCGAACGGCTGTTTTAACCAGCTGGCTGCGATATATGCACCGTTGTCTAATTTTTTTTTGTAATAAGTATGAAAAGCGTTGAAAGTTCTTTGATAGAACCAAAAAGATAAGACTTATTATCAAACTGTAGTAATACACCATTGATAAGATGAATGCCACCACGCCCCCTTAACATAAAAGTGATAAGAGAGCCCTCCTCAATAAACAAAAATTTTAGTTAGATGGGCTTTTTAATCTTTTTTATTATGTTTGTAAATCAAATAAATAATTTATTTACGATTATTACAAAATAAAAAATCGACAATTTATTGTTACATTCTGTAGGTCCTATTAATTAATTAAACACTGTAGGAGAATATTGTTTTGTTTAATTAATTGTCAAAAAACCAGTGTATTGTGTTTAGAATTAATGTATGTATGTAAGTATCTTTATAACACCGTAAGTTTTGGGCGACTAAAAGGATTCCAATGTATGGGTAGAAAAAATTATTCAAGTTTTTATTAAGGTTTCATTTTTTGCGCAGTCGGGTTTTTTTTGTTCATTTATTACTTAATTTTAAATCACTTAATCGATTTTTTCATATAGCTTACATTCAAATTCAGTCAATTTCATAGAAAATTTTAGCTCCTTAGAAAAAAGTAGAGTTCAGAGCCAACGACGGCATTTTGACAAATTGTGGGAACCTTATTATGTGTAGTCTTATCTGAATTATAACTCGCGTAAATTATAACATGATACTCGCCTGTAATGTAGGTGATTTTTAAATTGGTCTGGTAGTTTCGGAGCTGTTTAATAAAAACAAAGACTAACAACAAAAAAACTTTCCACTTAATAATATTATTATAGATAATTATAAATCATAAAGCTTAGCCATACAAATTTAGCATTGTCTTCGATGTGTCGTTCCTTGTGTATAAGCGGCATCCGCTCAATCTTGACATGGTAATAACATTGAGTAGGATAAGTGATGCGAGTTTCGAAATTACATAAGAATAGAATATCTAAGACACGTATAATCAATCAATTTTGTTTTGTATTTTTATACAAATCAATAGAATTTATACACCAAATGAAGTGAATTCGAATTCGGGTTTGGGTTTTTTACAGAATCGCAGGGCTGATCGTTTAGATTGCATTCAAACAAATTTGACATCCAGCCACAGACTGTGAGTTAGGCAGTTTTTTTACTTTAACGAACAAATCATCTTTTCGTTATGGAAATTAATGAAAAATTCGATAATTTCTGTAGTCGTATCTATAAAGGGAATCTATAATTATATTACTATAACTATGAGTTTTTCATCTTCTAGAATGCTTAAAATGTATCTTGCTTAACGACAGGAATAGTTCATTGGTCACATTTTTCTAGTTATCATCTATAAGAATACACATGTTGACAGGGATTAAATTTATATGAATAAAAAGTGAATATTTATTGTATTTCTTAAGAATGGCTTGGTCGAAAACACATCAATACTTGTAGCATTAAATGCTTCATTATGCAACGTCATCATCTGCAGTCATTACTCCACTGGGAACTCGTTTTGGGTTATGTTTAGTTCTCTCTATATTATTCATACCTGTGGTTCTAGTGACAGCTCAGTAAAAATAAATTTCCACTAATTTGACAAAATAAATGATTGAAGAGGTTTTGTGTATGTCCATTCATATTAACCACCCAACTGCAATAAAAGTTTTTTAAATTTATTTTTCACTTACATGAAAGATTTTTTGAATGTCGTTTTTAGGGTTACCGTACCCAAGGGGTAAACAAATCAAATCAAATCAAATCAAAATTTATTTATTCAATTTAGGCTTTTACAGAGCACATGTGAAAGTCGAAAACTACGCCATCGGTTCGCAAAACTACCCCTAAACCTAAACCTAACCCTAACCCTGCCCTATTGTAGTTACTCTTAGTAGTTCGCTCTCTGTCATTGGGATGTATCTCATACACCGTAAGTTACACAGTTGAAATTTTCAAAGATGACGTATTTCTGTTGCCGCTTCAACAGCAACCAGAATAAAATAAATATTTAAGGGCGCTACTATACAACAAACGTGATTTTTTTGCTGTCACCAGGCTGTATCTTATGAGTTATGAACTGTGATAGTAAGACATCTGAGATTATCACATATGATTTATTTCTGTTGCCGCTGTAACAACAAATACTTTAAAGATTTCCTTGTTGCTTGATTGTTTTTGGTACGGAACCCTTCGTCTGCGAGTCGCATTCGGTCGGTTATTTTAATATATTTTGGCCCCTCCTTTAAGTCTGTTAAACTAAAAGTTCATATCTTCAAACCTACAGAACCGATTTAATTAAACTTATACTGATCCCTAAGTAGAAAGCCAAACAAAAAAGAAACAATTAATTTTCAATTAAATCATACATTCTTATACTTATGAAGAGTCACTTTGTTATTTGCAAAATATTGCTTATTTTTAAATTTAATAAAGGTCTATTAACCAGTTTTATAATGCATGGTAATTACGGTATTGGACACTTTTGTCTAATACATAAATGATTTAGTTGAAATAATGTCAACCGTAAAACAATGTATTACAAAACAATGTTTTCCTTGGATTACATAGCCAGCTAGAATAATCGTATGACCTATCGACGCACTAATTACCTGAGTAACTATATTGTAACGTTGATTAAGTCATGTCATCAAGTTTTCCTATACTATACAGGTTAGTCATTACTATAATAATCGAACAATTAAAAATTATACATTTCATAATAAAACAAATAATAAATTTAGCAGCGTTGTATAAAAATTGCGTTTAGTAGTTTTTGTCAAACCATTTAACTTCTTTATTTAGCATATTTTTAAAACATTTGAAAATAAATTTAGTTATATTTTACAAAAAAAAAGGTCTAAACGTAAATAATGTAAAACATTTACATTATTTAGATCGTCTGTAGGTTCCGTGGACC